TTTGTCAAAAATGATCCCTGATCCCTACATTTAAAAAAAAAAAAAAAAAAAACTGCCATCCTGAATTAACAGTTTGCTAGAAGGTAGATGAAGCGATTAGTCATTGTTGACAAGCCACGACACACAGTGTCCAATAACCAAATGTGTCCTGCATTTAACCCATATGTGACATGCAAGGGGCAGCTAATTTAGCGCCCAGGGAGCAGTGCTTGGGGTGATACCTCGCTCAGGGTACCCAGTGGTACCTTGCTCAATTACAAGTCTGCTTTCCTAACCATTAGGCCATCACTGCCAAGCAGAGTGTCTTTCATTAACATCTGTCATGTGGTCGCGAGTGAATTTATGGCCTTACATGTCTCTACTCACTTCATAAGCCTGTAAACAATTTTTTTTCCCTCTGCAATTATACAGCAGAGAATAAGTCTCTATTTCTTATCATGTTATTCCTGTTTGTGCTTTTAGGCTATTACAATGTAGTTCCTTGATGTTTCTGATGAGTTCTTCTGTAAATGAAATCGTATTTGTAGATACATGTTTCAGGAGTAAATAGTGTATATGAATGTAGTTTATTTTTAAATTATATTTTTGCAACGCGGGTGTTTAAAACTGGAAAAAAGTGTAAACTGGAAAAATAATGGATGTAGTGGAAAAAAACATGTGCATTCTCCCTGTTGAATGAGGTGTTTAGTGATACAGGTTGACATTTAGCTGTCCTCTGCAGGAACGCTTCCAAACGGGGATTCCCAGCAGAACAGCGATCATCTGAAGTACGTATTCGTGTTCCGTAGGTCTAGATGTGAATTAAAAGCAGCAGCATTCCATTGCTCATACCTGTATCCAGGGCTTTATGTGCTCTTTAAGAATATGCTAGCAGGCCACTGGGTGGCACAGGCAATCTAGCGGAACGGCAGCAGGTGGTGTAACCTGACACGGTTTGCCAGTCGGCTGGTCACAAAGCTGCCAGACTCCCACTGCGTCACAGTGTCACGGATGACCGTGCAGGTGCCTGCGTTGCAGGTCTAGCAGAGACGCATCCCCTTCGGCCGACAGTGTGGAGGACATGGCCTCGCCGGGTGATCGCACCCCAAACAGCACCGGCACGCCCTCTCCATCGCTGGGGGACTCCCGCTCGTCTCGGCCGCCCCGGCCCTCCCGCCCGCCTCCCCCGAAGCCCCACAGACCGGCGTCCTCCCCAGGTCTGTGTTGACATCCGTCGTCGTCTTTAATAGCTCGAGAAGCAGGCTCGGTCTCAGTTTCTTCATCTCCGCCGCGTTCTGAACTCAGCGTCCCTGACAGCCTCCACCGGCTCGTCCGCGTCCGGCGACGTTACCAGCGCCGAAGCCCTGGCACGCGTCTCTGCCCCGGCGGCTCCGGAAGCCAGCGGCAGCACTGCCGTCGTCCAGGAGCCTGGCCCTGCGGTAGCGCGGCAGGTGGGCAACATTGCCCCGTCCGCTTCCAGGATCAACCCCATCAGCACATGCCCACTCCCCCCCGGGTGAGACCTCCTCTGCCTCCACAAGGCCGAGTGCTTCCCCTGCCTGCAGTCTTTCTCTTTCTGCCTTAATTTCATTGTCTGATTACTTGTATTTTGCTCATTGACAACGAAGTTGAAACTAATCTAATCGTAATGGCATCTAATCTAACACACATAGATAAACAGCAAAAGTACCTCAATAAACACGGAAACGTTTCATTGTCTAGCTTCCCCCATGACAGCCCGCGTTTTCTTTTCTATCTTTGAGTATTCTTAGTCATGTGACACGTTGTTTTGATTACATCAAGATGGGAGCAGAGAGTCGACCAAAACGGCAGAGTGTATTTTGTGGATCACATTGAAAAGCGGACGACGTGGGACAGGCCAGAACCCCTACCTACTGGGTACACCTTTTTTAATCAGAATAACTCTTAATTTAGTTTTTTTTTTTCCATTTTTCTTTTTCCACCAAGTTCATATTCAATACATAATGCTGCAGCCCATAATGTCTCTGTACTCTGAGGTCCTAAGTGTCAGTACAGTATCGGGAAAGTGCTCCAGTGTCATGTATGTCATCAGACTGGGTCCACGCTCACCGTCTCTCCCTCCCCTCCCCAACAAGCTGGGAAAGACGCGTGGACCCCATGGGAAGGATCTACTATGTGGATCACATCACGCGGACCACCACCTGGCAGCGACCCACGGTGGAGTCGGTGCGCAACTACGAGGAGTGGCAGCTGCAGCGCAGCCAGCTGCAGGGCGCCATGCAGCAGTTCAACCAGAGGTTCATATTCGGAGTAGGTGTCTGAGGGGCTGGGGTGGCGGGGGACAGCTATGCTGATGCGCTTATCTCCATACTGCAGTCGGCGTGCTCGCCGAGCCGTCGCACGCGGCCACTGGAACAACACTGAGCATTAAAAATTCTTCACGCTTTAATGTCCTTTCTTTCCCCCATTCTTTGGTGTTACTGCAGCTTCAAGATCAAATTCCCGCTTTGCAGAATAAAGAGTTTGATCCCCTTGGACCGCTGCCTCATGGCTGGGGTAATTATCACACATCAGGCATTTATAATGATTAATGTTGGAACTGGGGGCTTCAGTTGTGTTTAACTATAATCACTCGGTTATTTTAATTTTATACCGAGCCCTTCCTAACGGCAGATGTGATTAATCCAGTTGGAGCAAAAACATCAGGTGCAGCTGTGGTTTACATAAGACAGTGTAATTATTATTAGCAGAACATGTTAAAATGCTTAAACAGCTCTATTTGCAATGTTTTCGCAGACTTGGTATAGTATTTCCTTGGAGAACTTGCAAACAAATGCAGTGGCCAAGGCACTGAGAGGATTTAAACTTATGTGTTTGTGTAATTTTCCAAAGAGAAAAGAACAGACACCAATGGCAGAGTGTACTTTGTTCATCACCCCACAAGAACAACTCAGTGGGAAGATCCTCGCACCCAAGGGTGAGCTTCCAGCCTCTTTATATGTGCATGATACTTGCTGTTGCTTGTCAATGATTAGCCACGCAGTTCTGTTTGATTGTTGTCGCGTATCACCGTGATCCAAGACAAGCCTGATGTCACACCTGCCTGAGGCCGCCGTGACGCCAGCTGTCTCCTCCCCTCTCGCCTCGCAGGCTGCTGAACGAGAAGCCGCTGCCCGAAGGCTGGGAGATGAGGTTCACCGTGGACGGCATTCCTTACTTTGTCGACCACAACCGGAAAACCACCACCTACATCGACCCCCGAACTGGCAAATCCTCCCTGTGAGTTTGCCCCCTTCAACATAACGTCTCCAAAGCTGATGTCCTTGATCCTAGACTGACAGCTCTTGTAAAAAATTTATGTCAGAAAGATCACCATTCTGTTCAGCGCCGTATCACTTATTATTTATAATTAAAATGTATTGGCCCCGTACATTATTTTGCTTTTTTGTTGCAGTGAAAATGGGCCCCAGATCACCTATGTGCGTGACTTTAAAGCCAAAGTCCAATATTTCCGATTCTGGTGTCAGGTGAGTGTGGTGTTCCGGAATGGGATGACATGCGTAGCTTGTGGTGAGGTGCAGCAGGGAACGCAGGGCCCAGCCCTGGTGGTCTCCCGCAGGCCGAGCCAAACATTGTACAGTGGTCCAATCAGAAGATACATGGCTGTATGGGAGAGTTCTTTCAAATACTGGGGTGACTTGAGCAGAGGTGTTGAAATGGCTGAACATACAGGCATATTGTTGTAGTTTTGCATGAAGATCATTTAAACAACATTTTCTTAGAGCGCCTGAGTAGTATATATGCATGCACCTCCCCCCTTGCTAAACCAGGAAGCAGTATTTATTGCTCCTTGACAATAGGCAACAAACAAGCCACACTTGATTTATTTATTTATTCCGTTTATTGTATTTCTAAACAACCAAGGCGATGTTTGTATGTGTGTCTTATTTTCCGATTTTGGCATGAGTACTGGTGTTTGGTATTTATTTGTAATTGCTTGGTCTAGTCTTTCTCAAAAGGGCCAAAAATGTGGGTGTCACCTCATCAGTTAGAACATAGTACCTATAAATAATGTGCATTTACAATGAGGAATGGCAGCATATTTTGGATTGATGTGTCATTAGCTCAACAGACCTGAAACAACAATCCTCTCTCTCCCACAGCAACTGTCCATGCCTCAGCACATAAAGATCACTGTGTCCCGCAAAAGCCTGTTTGAAGATTCATTCCAACAGGTTGGTACCTGTCTCCCATGCTGTCTAACGGAGCCTTGTGATCCCGGGAATTCAGGCTTGAACGTTTGCCCATCTCCTCACTACAGCCCTTTCCACTAAGTTATTTAACCTTTTCTGCTGTCATGTGATGCCTTTATTGGCCTGTGCTGCGTTACTGCAGTGCAGTGTTACTCACTGTTAGCGCCGTCTTTTATTAAGATAATGAGCTTCAATTCACAAGATCTTCGGCGACGGCTGTGGGTGATTTTTCCTGGAGAGGAAGGTCTGGACTATGGTGGTGTGGCCAGGCAAGTTAGGCTGTGTTTGTTTTTAAATTGTATTAGTATTTTTAACATAGTAATGTAATGCCCAACCTCTGCAACATAAGCTATATTCTTAAGAAACATAGATGACCATTAAATAAGTAAATATACTTCCTTGATATATTACCTTTTTATCAGGTCGGTGCTGTGAGTGAATGAGTGTCCATGTACCTTTTGCAGAGAGTGGTTCTTCCTACTATCCCATGAGGTGCTGAACCCCATGTATTGCCTGTTCGAGTACGCAGGGAAGGAAAACTACTGCCTGCAGATCAACCCTGCCTCATACATCAATCCAGACCACCTCAAGTACTTCAAGTTCATTGGCCGGTTTATCGCCATGGTGGGTTTTGTTTCTTTTACATTGGCTTTTCTTATCTGCAGCGATGTGTACATGACTGGCTATTCATTGCTTAGTGGATATGTGGTTTATAAATTAAGGTCAGTTTAAATCTGTATCTTCTGTTATTTCCAGGCTTTATTTCATGGGAAATTTATCGACACAGGCTTCTCATTGCCTTTCTACAAGCGCATTTTAAATAAGCCTCTGGGTCTGAAGGATCTGGAATCCATTGATCCCGAGTTCTACAATTCCCTTATATGGATCAAGTGAGTTCCACCTAAAACATGACCTGTTTGTCTGTTGCCGTAATCCCTTTAAATTACCGCGGGGAAGAACAGATATGTCTGTGTGTACAGTGAGAAGGATCCCATCAGCTGTGCATCGATACCATTTCCCTTTAGGGAGAACAACATTGAAGAGTGTGGCTTGGAAATGTACTTTTCTGTGGATAAAGAAATCCTGGGTGAGGTGACCACACACGAACTGAAACCAGACGGCAGCAACATATTAGTCACAGAGGAAAACAAAGAAGAATACATCAGGTACCTCTCCCCCCATACAAAACCAAGACTTGCCACAGGCTAGAACAAGAGGCAGCTTCTTTGGCATGGATGTCTTCAGCCTTCCCCCTTGTTAATTGTGTGTGTATTTTTGTCTGGAAAAAATGGTCCTTTCTGCTTTACAACCTACAGTATGTTGTGCCTTTAATGTCTGAAACGAAGATTTCGCTGAGCTATTCAAAATAGTAAAGTGTTTTTATTTGCAATAAAATTTGAGGAAATGGTAGCCTAGTAGATGTTGTGGTGTCTGTGTGTTGCAGGCTTGTGGCTGAGTGGAGGTTGTCCAGGGGAGTTGAAGAGCAAACACAGGCCTTCTTTGAGGGCTTCAATGAAGTGCTTCCACAGCAATACCTGCAGTATTTTGATGCAAAGGAATTGGAGGTTAATTTTTTTATAATATGACTCAGCAAGCTTTGTTGATATGAATTTTAACTAGAACAATGGTAGAGAGGGTGTTGAGGTATAAGTACTTAAATGGCAGACCTTGACTGTAATCTCTCTGGTAATTGGTTGTTTTGTAAGGTTCTGACTGCTGTTTGGATGTTGGTTTGCTGATAGAGCTGCCATGGCTATTTCTGGGTGTGTGTAACAAAGAAGTGGTGTTTCCGTCCCGAAAGGTGATGCTTTGCGGGATGCAGGAGATCGACCTGGTGGACTGGCAGAGGAACACAATTTATCGGCATTACGCTCGGAGCAGCAAGCAGATCCTGTGGTTCTGGCAGGTAGAATTTGATGTGCCGGGCCTGCTTGTACTGCTGTACCCAAATCTTTTCTGAGCCCTAAAACATTGTTTTTGAATATGTTTGTGTGTGGGTTTGTATTTACCACATTGTGGGGACCAAATGGCTCAACAATATGGTAAAATCTACATGGTAAAATCTAATGCAATTTACATTTTCAGGTCCCCACAATATAAACCTCAATTTTAGAAAAATCTGTGAATGCAATCAAAAAGCCCCAAAAGTCTTCCATTTTGTTACGTTGCTTATGGTTAAGGTTATGGCTGGGTAAGTGTTCGGGTTATCGTAGTTAGGATTAGGGTTACACTCATAGAAATGACCTGACAGTTCCCACAGTGATAGGAATATATAAAGCATGTGTGCATGAATGCGTGTCTGTGTGCGTCTGTATATTTTTATATGACAGAAAAGCACAAAATGTAATCCGGACTCCACTGTGGACAGCCAAATTTCTGCTCAAAAACATCAAAGACCCATTTAAAAAGTTGGCTATATCTGTAACTATATTAAGGGTTTTTCTTTTGGCTATAGGTCATACTGGTTATATTAAAAGATTGCAATGTCCTATGCTCTCCCTTGCAGTTCATTAAAGAAATCGATAACGAAAAGCGGATGCGGCTGTTGCAGTTTGTGACGGGTACCTGCCGCCTGCCGGTCGGGGGATTTGCCGATCTGATGGGTACGTTTGGCAGGGAGCTCATACTGACCACGCCCCCATTGCCACAAAGTGATCATATGCATTCACTGAACTGAATTTGTCTCTTTTTGCAGGGAGTAATGGCCCACAAAAGTTCTGCATTGAGAAAGTTGGGAAAGAGAACTGGCTCCCAAGAAGCCACACTTGGTGTGTTTTTATCTCATTTCTGTATGAGCAGTTCCTTGGTGCTACAGGTGGCTGATTAGGGTCTCAGTGGGCAACAGCCCGGAAGCTCAGAAATGGAGATCGCACTCCGTTTAAAATATAACTGTGTGTTGTGCATTTTGATACATTGCATTTTACGCACTTTGTGAGCAAATGAAGAATCATTTGGACTTAAGACGTCCGATTTTCTTCTGTATCTCACATTTGTTCATCTGTTTTTGGTGTTACCTCAATGATGTTTGTCTGTACTGAATACATGGCTAAATGTTGTCTTGTTCTTGTTTTAATTACTAGTTTTAACCGTCTGGATCTACCGCCCTACAAAAGCTACGAGCAGCTCAAAGAGAAGTTACTGTTTGCAATCGAAGAAACCGAAGGCTTTGGACAGGAGTAACCAAGACAAGTAAACCAAGTTACTCTGCTGGCTGATCTTTAAGGATCTTTACAGCATTTTGTCTTATACCTGAGCCCTTGGTCCTTGGCAACAGTGTGTTACCAATGATTCTGTGGAATTGTGGGTCTTGCTGTGAGATTAGCCTCTTCTCCCGCCTGGGGGTTTGTTCAGAAGCTCAGAAAGTATCCCCCACCCCCCCCACCCTCCTTTCCCTGGTTATATAGCAGAAGCCCGCATGGAAGGGGCATGCAGATCCTCAGGAGCCTGCGGATAAGCTAATGCTGGGGCACTGCTTCCCGCATCCCTGTGTGCCGTAGACCACCGGTTCTCAGTACCTTAATCTGCCTGACAGGTGGCTACTTTCTTTCATTTCTGTAAGTTCGGAGTGAGCATGAAAAACACGCCACTTTCAGTAAGATACTTAATCAGATCTTCTTCCCTGCTGGAGAGGAAGCTCACTGCAGTCCCTTTCCCATGGCTGCCATCATTCCACTTAGAAAATCGGAATCCTCAGCCGGTTCAGTCAGTGTGGGTGGGGGTGGCCTCAGGGCTCCTTAGACTTAGACTAAGTTATTTTCACACTGGGGAGTCAATTGATCTCAACATTGTGCACAATATTGAATTTAATGTTGAAAGCTTGAGAACTATGCACTATAAACTCCACTGTTCTATCTGTGTCTTCAGCCACGTTGTTCTGAAGTCATTGCTTTGAATGTGAAGTGATATTTATAAAAAAAAAAAAAAATTGTGCCCTGCTGCCTCAACTTGTGCGTCTGTGTCCTCTATCTGTATAACAATTAATCAAAAGCTTTAATTTCTGCCCAAGGTTACAGTGTATACATGGTATTTTTCTATTTCGGACAGTGCCTACAAAACTGTCATTTCTAATAAGGATGTTAAATGTCGAATCACCTAAGCATTTTAAGCATAGCTGTCGTTTGACGTTAGTTTTCTGCAGTGATGTTTTAATTTTTTCCCCCTTAATGTGCTTAGTTTTATCTATAAACTAAATTACACATCTGACTGAAGCCGTCCAAATACCAGTTACATTGGAACTGTGTTGGAAGTGTGTCATCCACCTAAAGGTTTCTTTTAATTATTAAAAAAAGTCAAGTGATAAATAGAGCGGAATAAGAGGCCTCCATTAGCTCAAAATGATGTGGCGATAATTTTGTCCCTGACATATACTGTGTACACAGATTAAGGTTTATTTATAATATGACCATTAAAAAAACTTACTGCCGAGTACTGCAGTGGCATCCTGTCAAGTAATCAAGGTAGTAAAAACTGCCACGGCACTAGAAAAATCACTAGACTTCCAAATACATTTATATATTTGTGGTAGTCAAAATGACAACAGGGTCACTCCAACTGCTTCAGAACATTTTAACTGGATTTGCTGAACGTGTACCTTAAAGCCTCTGTAAGCTGCTCAGCTAGATGTCTTGTCTTGGGAATGCACCTACATTGAGGCAATGCTTTCACAGTGTAACCGGCCGTGAGTAATGTCATACAGGCCATGGTGCAGCAGATTTGTATTTATAAAGCATGTGTGTAGCATCAGCAAATGAAATGCTAACTTCCCTAGTTTTATAGGGCCTGTCAAACATTTGTTAAATTCTGCAAGGAAACAGTTGGGAATACCAATGACTTCTGTCAGGATTAGTGCTTTGGAATGCCGTGGCTCCAGTCCTGGATAAATTTCATTTTAAAGGGGCACTGAGGTTTTTATTTTTTATTGTTTGTTTTGTTTGTTTGTTTGTTTGAATTCATTCCATCTGTTCCATGAATGAAAGTCATGATACCTGTAAGGCAACAGGGAGCCTGTGGTTGAGTGATTATGGAGGTAACGGGGGGCTTTGGGAGGATTGGCAAAGTGAGCGCCAAAAAGGATGAGGTTACACTGTGGCTGCTCACGAAAGAGAAATGCAGGTGACAGACTGATGTGCTCGCTGACACGTGCAGACCTCGTGTCGGTGGATGGCATGTGATTTTAGGTTCATTATTGCGTTCGCGGGCAAAAATATGCATTTACTGAATCATCCTTTAGACTCTTAGTTATAAGTGGTCTATAGTGTGCTATGCATAGTGATGTTTTTGGACATGTCAGATAAGGGTGGAAATCCCAGCTTCGCTCTTTGATATCGAATGTGGGTTTATGTGGCTGCTTGTTGTAATCGATCTTCAGAAGTTGTAAAAATGAGTTAACGACACCTGAGGTTCTTGTCTGCCCCCTGCATTTATCCAGAGTGGCATGTTGCCCTGGCATCACTAGGGTTGTCAGTAGCTTTTTGGTAGTGGATATAACAAGGGAAATAATTGAGATGTAAAGCCTCAAGTTCCGCAAAAATGTTCTCCACAGTGGGGAAAATGTTTGTCATAGAAAGCGTATTTTTATACATTTCACTTTATGTTTATAACCCACTTAAAGATAAGGGGTTTTTGCTTAAATCGCTGATATTTTCCCTAATTGCAGAAAGAAACCATTCTCCTCCCCTTCTGTTCATGGTCCAGATACAATTATCAGACATTCTTGTACAAATGAAACATTTTAACAAATCTGAGTAAAATGTGGCAGATCCCCTGGAATAAAAATGTACATGTAGATAGGAAATTTCCTAACCTCAAATAAAATGGATTATTGGTCTCTTCAAAGATGCTTTTATTTTAAAAAATGGTACCGCATCAAGTTCACCTCTGTATTGTATAGATGCTGTAAATAATGTTAATACTGAATGAACTGTAATTTCTTCCTGTAAAATATCTTTTAGTAAATGGAGGTTTGATGGTTTAAATGCTATTTAATTTTCTGTACATGAAGAGAACTGAGTGTCAAATGCTTAAATCTGTTTAGAAATGTGAGAAATAAAGATATGATGTATGAATTGGTGTCCTTTTTGTAGCTTTTTGCAAATCTTAAAAGCCTGTTGGAATAATAAAAAATGACAGAGATTACATCTTTTCTGATTGGAACTGTGTAATAAAAATTGGTAAATTGCTTTCGTAGAAATGTTATGCACATTTATCTTGAAAAATGTGTCTTGAAAAAGGAATGTGTGTATGAATCATCACAATACATTATGCAATGCATAGAACATAAACACCTTCAGGTCCTAGGTCAAACCACTGTATTTTTTTTTTTTTTTGGGTCCATGGGTCTGGATCAATTATAATTATCTTTTTAAAAATTATATATTAACCCTAACTTTTGATTTGCTTGCCAAAGTGCATTTTGATAATTTTGACTGGGATGTTTAGCTAATTTAGATTTGAGAATATTCAGTTTTAGGTGCATCTGCGGATTTGCTATTACCTCGTATGCTTTAGTTTTTGAAGTACTGCCAAGAGGAAGAATTTCTTCATTTTCATTGTACAGGTAGCAGTTACAATGAAATTCCAAATTTTGCATATTCCATTTTGCTATCTGGTAAGACACAAACACTGACAAGAGCAAAACTTGGCCTCAGAGCATCAGGTCAGCCATTTATCTGACTCCCCTTGGGGCATCTACTGGGGGTTAAGGGCCTTGCTGAAAGGCTCTGCACTGATATGAAATTTGAACCAGTGACCTGCTAGACACATACTCCTAAACCATAGATGCATGCATGATTTTTAAAGCTTTCACCTACATCTTCTACTTTTTCTATTAGAAGTAAAATGTTGAACATTGAGTCATCTTTCTTGGGTGTGGGTGGTTATTCAGAGAACGCCAGAATTTTTATCCTTCCATGAAGAAAATTGCAAACCATGATTTTCTAAGAATTTTCAAATGTTTCATTCTGTAATGTCGCAATAGAAATGACAGAGTGATGCGTGTCGTGTATCTGCCTGCATGTTGAACCCTGAGGTGTTCGCACAGACGCGATTCCATGGAAACAGACGGCTGATACGCAACATTTGGCCCGCACCTCTGTCGTCAAGGTATAATTCTGGGTGTGTACATGCTATGCTCGCTTTCTCAGCCCTACGCCAAAAAATATAAAAGAATGCCTTAATAAAATACACCCAAGATGACAGCAGGCCCACCTTTCATTCCATGAGTGTGTGACATCACCGCATGTTGCACAAGTGACAAATGTGGAAAATTTGTCATATAGTTACAGGTGTGTTGCTTTTGTTATAATTTTTTTTTGTATGAAATATATTTCAAACTTCATCCATTGTATTACAATAATGAAAAGGACAACTGGGGTCCCCTGTCCCAGGTCACTGATAGCATTTCCAAAGTATAGAACTCATTTTAACTTTGCAGCAATCCTCATTAATACAATATCCAGATTCTTTAACGTCTACATTAAATGTTTATGAACCAAGTCAGCCAACAGATTATTATTATTATTCTCATTATAACGACAGTCTGTAATTTTTAAAGTTGTTTGTTTTTGCCCAGAGTTGATTATTTTTGTTATGTAACAGAGGGTGGGGTTACTTGGGGAAAAAGGTAACACTGTGTACTTGGAAAAAGGGCTTCACTACCTTTCACCACGTGCTGTGGGAGGAGCTACAGTCTTGGTGTTCAGTATAAATCTGGGGAGAGATTATCAGCTCACTCAGAGATTTTTGCAGGGAAGATACATCAGTCAAACGCACCAATGAAGGGTGAGTTTTTAATGTTCCTTTTCAACAGAAATATTTCTGGATATTGCTGTTACCTTAACTTAGAAATCTTTGTCAGATTCATTGGTGACATATTCATCATAAGCTCATCATGGGTTTACAGTGTTTCTCTCATGCTCTCCAGACGTACTGCAACATAAAAACGCAATGATCTCTGTTTTTTGAGATTGTCGGGAGTGCATTTTAAATTACACATTAGTGATTGTGAGTGTAAGTATTGAGGTTTCCCTTTCTGTTGATATAGGTTTATGTGTTAGTTACGTTGACTGGAACCTTGTTGGGAACCAGGAGGACCACAAGTCACAAGGTCTGTGCTCCGAACGCCTGGTGGTTCGAAGAGGAAAACCTTTCAGGATCACACTGTTTTTCAAAGACAAGCCATTCGACCCCCGCACAGAATCTTTGATCTTCAAAGCCTTGCTAGGTACTTTTGGATGGAGCTTGGGGAATATGTTATCTGTTCTGTGCTGTTTAAGTACCACTGGAACTAACTCGACTTCACTCTTTTCCATCTAGGTGAACTTTGTGTTGAAATCCCTGCAACGTTCTCTCAGCCAACATCAGATTCTACATGGGGAGCCCAGATCAAGTTGGGAAAGACTGTCTACCATTCTGTCACAGTCCAGATTTCCACTTCATCAAAAGCACCTGTTGGTCTCTATAACCTCCAACTTAATATTCAGTCCCAGTTTGGGTTTCAGAGTTGTTTTCTTGGAGGATTTATTCTGCTCTTCAACCCCTGGTGTAGAGGTAGAGTTATATATATATATATATATATACTGCATTATATTTAGTTACTATTTTTCTCATGATTACTCTACAGGTACGGCAAAGTTGGTTGGGTTTTTATGAGTGAATTCTTTTCTGTTTTTTAGCTGATAGAGTATTCCTCCCCTCTGAAGTCCAGAGGCAGGAATATGTGAAAAATGACATGGGTATGTTGTTCATGGGAACATCTGATAATGTACAATCAAGGACCTGGGATTTTGGCCTGGTGAGTTACCATGAGTAGATGTGGTCAACATAGTATGCACATTTCTTAACAAAAGACATCCTTAATCTTGTCCCGTTCCTTTTTCCAAAAATGTAGTATGAACAAAAGATTCTGGACATCTGCCTCAAAATTCTAGATATCAGCCCACAGCACAACAAAAATAAGAATAAAGACTACTTGTGTCGCTCCGACCCTGTCTACCTGAGCCGGGTAGTTTGTGCAATGGTAAGTCACATGTAAATCTTCCAATCGTGAATTGGCAGTGTTCATCAGGATAATATTTTCAGGCATTGCAAGAATTCTCTGAAACACATTTCGGTGATTTTGTTTTGTTATATTAGATCAATTGCGAAGATGACAAAGGAGTGCTGAAGGGCAACTGGTCTGGAGATTTCAGTAAGGGTGTCTCCCCCTCACAATGGACAGGAAGTGCTGCCATTTTGAAATTGTGGGATAAGACACAGTTCAGCCCCGTGCTGTACGGCCAGTGCTGGGTCTTTGCTTCCGTTATGTGCACAGGTAGGTCAGAACCTGACAGATAACCACAGACATTTTGTTGATATACAACCCGTAGAGCAAACTTCACTTCCTACAGTCCTTTCTGGCCAGCTCTTCCTGGTTTTGTGGTCATAGGTATATAATGCTCTTCTATGGTCACGGTTTCAGTTATGAGGGTCCTGGGCATTCCAACGCGAGTGGTTACCAACTTCAACTCTGCTCACGACACCGACGGCAATCTCAGTGTCGAGGAGTATTACAGCGAAACAGGAGAAAAGCTGCCTCAAACTGCGGACAGCATATGGTAAAGAGAGTTCACTTGGGTTTAAGCACTTGGTAGTGGGCAAAGCAAAAGCACAAATAAACCTTGTGTAATATTTTTATCTCAGGAACTACCATCTGTGGGTGGAATGCTGGATGACACGGCCTGACATTGGGGTGGGATTTGACGGATGGCAGGCACTAGATCCAACTCCACAGGAGCGAAGTGATGGTAAACGTTAAATGTTTCACATTTTTGATGATATACTTTGTATGCACTCACAGATGCTCTAACAAAAAGCTGAATAGATAAAGTTTTGGTATTCTGTCATTTTTTTCCTTATCTAATGATTCATACAGCACATAAAATACTGAAAAAATGGTCCTACTGTGTGTTTCTTTTTGTAAATATTGGTGTTTCTATTCTGCAGGGATATACTGCTGTGGCCCATGTCCAGTGAAAGCAGTCCGGGAAAAGCGAGTAGATCTGTTCTACGACATCCCATTCATTTATGCGGAGGTCAATGCTGACGTGCACACAGCTGTTGTCAGGAATGGGAAGGTGCTCACGTGGAAGGTGGACACTGATAGGGTTGGCTCTCTGATCTGTACTAAGTGTGTGGACGGCAGTTCTCCACAGGATATCACCAACACCTACAAGAAGGCCAAAGGTAGGGCAAAAAAGCTGCAATGCTATTGCTATAGAAATTCTCAGGTAAATGGGCTAGCATGGTTGCTAACTGCCAACCTTTTCAATTGCTTTTGCAGATAACATGTCATCAGCTGGGTCAAATTGTGGATGTGAGTATTTCTTTTACTGGCTTGCATAGATATTTCAATGGGTGTAATTTCCAAAAACTAGTTGTATCTAGAACACTGACAATGATCATCTCTTGGATTGAAGCAAGGCTGATTTCTTTGAGTCATAGATGAATGCTCGCTCATATTTGCATGAATTTCTGCTGTTTACTTCTGTTTTCTTAATATATATATATCTTCGTCTGACTCTCCTACAGCTGTTACGTCACAGCCTTCAGCAAACACGCAGAGTAAGTTTTGACTCATTTCAACTGATTCATCCTTACTTGCTTCAGCGACATTTACCATGATGCAAGTGTGCCATGAAGTCAGTTAGTGAATTTGTGTTGATTCTTGATTTATTCTGAAGGGCAAAAGCAGACTTTGGGTGTCTCCCTGAAGCTGAGCAAAGTTCCAGTAGCCGGTGAAAACATCTCCTTCTCTGTCACGGTCACCAATAAAGCTAATTTCACAAGGATTGTTGGGGAACATGTCAATGCCCAAGTCAAGGAGTATAACCGCAGCCCAATGGAAACGTTCTGGGAAGCTTCTCAAAGGCTTAAGCTTGGACCACGTGAAGGTAATGATCGTTCTATAGTAGGACAACATCTTTGTGTTGTTTTTCTTACATTGGCAAATGGAGCACTTTGATTGGCCTGTTAATTGGTTATATATGGTCATTATTTCCCTCTGACAAAACCTTTTTTCCCCTCTCTCTACAGTTGCTGTTATACAGCACTCAATTCCTTATGCCCAAGCCATGAGATTTCTCCTGGGGGACAACTTGGTGAATCTTGCTGTTGTGTTGAGGGATGATGTCACAATGGAAAGGGTGTTGGAATATGAGGAGTTTAACATCTCCACCCCACAGATCTCTATTCAGGTGCTTGTTCTTGGTTGAATTCATCACTTTCATGCAAAGCAATATATATGCAATATAACACATCCTCTATAGACCTCAGACAGCCCATGACTCTGGGATATTAGTGATCTTATTTTATGAGCTAGATCATAATGTCATGAGTCAAGTAAAGGATTTGAATGGTTCTGCAATAGCAAGTGCCTGTTAAACTATTGACAGTTTTAACAAGTAATTTTTTTGGAAAAATTTTATTGGGATAAAAATGTATTCACCAGCAATGTGCATATTTTAGAAAGGCTTGATACCTTCATCATTCTGAAAAAAGCACTCAGCTGCTTAGATTGCTCTGGGGGTCACAGATGCTGATGAAAGGCTTCCAGCATAACAAGCAGCTTTTGTCTTGCAGATCGACGATGAAGATGGCGTCCTGGAGAACACAAAGCACACTGTGCTTCTGAGCTTCCATAACTTCTTCCCGGTTGCTGTGACTGGGGTCCTCAGAGTCTCTGGTCCTGGTTTAACCCAGGAAGAGGAGACATCAAAGTAAGGGCAGCATTCATTAAAGCAATTTCATAATTCCCAGGCATGCCACCTGCACTTTTCAGCTCTTTATTTAAATTTGAATAAAACTGTACAATGTAACAGAATATAGGTATGACTAAAACCTTTAGACAGAACTTGTCTTTGTAGCCTAGTGATCAAGCCACACAGGAATGTTCTTGAACAATGTAGCCTGTCAGCGATGCTGAGGAGATTTAGGGTTTGTGTCCATGATATCCTTAGACACTACAAACCAAGAAACTTTTAGATTTAATTAACAGACAGCTCGTTGACAGTGTGTATTACAACAACCATTCAGCGTGTGAATGAATCTTCGACAGCTGGTTAAGAGATTCAGGCTCTAAGTGCCTCCAATGCTACAGCTGACCTTCTCATTTTCACACCTCTCAGGGCGTATCTCCTGAAAGCGGGAGAAACAAGACAGCAGGCCATCACAATCTGCCCCAAGACGGCCGGTGCGAAGATGCTGCAGGCCAGCTTGAAGCTGAGCAACAACCACACGGTGCTGCGAGGCTCTAAAACGATCAACGTGAAGGCAGCTTAGACGCTGTCAGGCTCCGACTCCAGGGCTGAATCGATAGCTTGTGAATGTGTCAGTGCTGTGTGATGAAACAGACAACAAAGCTGCTTCAGTGAAAAAATAGTATTTATTAGTATTATTTATTAATTTTGTCAGTATAGTGAAACATGTTCCACATGCTGATCATTAATCAGTGTGTTATTAGTGTTGATTTTAGAAAGTGCAATTATATACTGTATTATAAACTAAAATAAAAATATTTTTTATTTAATTTCCTATTTATTTCTTACTTGAAATGCTTGCAACTAAGGAAATTGCTACCCAATTACCTTGACATGTAACAACCAGCTGTGTTTTGAATAATTTATGTATAGATGTGCCTGCCAATTTGAAATTTTCAATAAGTAATGTTACTTGTACTGGTGTTTTTAGTTCCAGTAATATTCCATTTCTCTTTCCGTTGTTCCGAGTTGTATTTAGGTTGTATGAACTTACCGAGAGAAACTTACACGTTATAAAACATATGCAATATAAAGCATGCGATTGTGCATGTGATTGTGCAGTCAAATGGAGTCACGCACCGGTGCTGTATAGCACTATGAGAGATAACAAAGTATCGAAGTATCGATGAACCAGTAAGAGAGGCAAACAAAATGCTTAGGCATATATGCTAAATTTATGCCTTTTAAATTCAGCCATAGTCATACTGATTGTCTAAAATGGTAATGCTTTGCTAGCACAACTGTGGGGAGACTGATTCAAGAACAGATATCGCTGCTTTAAGGTCAATTCACCAAAGAGGCAGTAAGATTTATTCATTGTCACACACAGTACCATGCAGTAATTATGGGTAAGACCCAGGTACTGACTCAGAGCCCGAGTCTTAGTTAATATTATTAATTTACACTTCACAGTAAAATAAAGCTAATACATTTTACAATGCTGGGGGGGTGAGTTGGGTTTTTTTGCATAGGCCCCCAGAGTCCCTAGAGTTGCCTCTGTTGCTATGCCATCCTGGGTTATTCGCTGCCTTGTGCCCATAGCTCCAGAGATAGGCTCCAGCCCCCCGCGAACCTGCATAGGACAAGTGGGCATAGAAAATGGATGGATAGATGTGGAGTTTGTATGTCCTCCTGGTATTTGCTCACAGTGCAAAGTCATGCAGTCATGCAAATTTCTAATTGTGTGTGTGCTTGTGTGTGAACGCCATGATATTCTGGCATCTCATCCAAGGTGCCCCCATCCTTGTGCCCAGGGGTGTCAGAAGCATTTTGAATGTGGGGGGGGGGGGGACACACTGGCATAAAACTAATATTTTATGTTAAATGTGGGAGGGGTCCAAACGAATAATTATGAAAAGTGAGTGGGACACACCCCCCTCAGATTTAATGATGGCGACGCCCATGCTTGTGCCCCACACTTCCTGGGATAGGCTGAAGGCCCCCCCTATAACTCTGTACTGGATAATCAGTTATGTAAGATGGATGGATGGTCATAAGTTTAAGTGTAATTTCTACTAAAACAATATTGTGAGCTTTCAAAAAATGTGTGACTTTTTAGGCTAATTTATACATAATATTATCAATGAGAGACACCAGATGTCACGTTCCAACAATGAAGGAGGCAGGAGCCGGCATGAGGGCAAACCAAAAGGGGGTTTATTAAGGAATGGAAACAGGGTAAGCAGAAGCTGACCATGTGGGGTAAAAGACAAGACAAAATTGGCAAGAGGGGAAACCACTGTAGCACATATGAGATGACATCAATGACCGGACTAGGGAGAACAGGACTGGGAGGCGCTCGTATATGCCACTGAGGAGGAACAAACAAGAGGCAACTGGAGTGAATCATATGAAGGCTGAAATGAGAGGTAAGATAAATTAGTAACAGGTGGGGCTCGTTAAAGCCAAACTGGGGAAAAACAAGGGGGCAGGAATGCAGGGTGTGACACCAGAGTTATAATCATGCATGTGAATAAACTGTGATAGCATTTAAGTAGCTCAGGAATTCCCATACAAGGCTATTGTTTAAGGCAAAATATTTAAGATGAATTATAATGTGTATCTGTGTTTTTCTTTCTCAAAACACGATAGAAAAAAATATTTATATCGATAGTTACAGCATTTACTATAATTTTTAAATTGTTCTTACTGTTAATTATTTTTAAGGTGCAGTACTTAACTTTGGATTTCAGTCTTCGGTGAGTATCAAATGAATTTGTGTGGTTTCATTGTTGTCCAGCAGTGGGCAGTATTGTATTACCGAAGCTCTTATCCGGCTATTATTGTGCGATCAACTGCTCTTCCACTCGAGGAGCGTTCTGACTAGAGATTACTCCTAAAATATTCCAGAATACTTCATGTTTGCTTCCTATGGATGAAAGGCATAGCTCATATATAACACGCAATTTTGAGATTTATTCATTTTTTGATGCCATAACGGGCTTGGGCGTAATTCGATGAAGGTGATTGATAACATAATTGATAACATAATCATAATTGATTCTGTAATGACCAGATTAACCTTCTTGGGCTAGTATTTTAGTTTTTTTTGTTGTTGTTGATAAACGGCACGCGTTGCTGATAAGCAGAATGTTTTAGATCCGATTCAGATATAACATTGACTCAGAGAAAGTTGTTCTTGGCCAGTATACACGTCAACCTGGCTGCTGTGAGGACACTGGGATGGATGATTTTTAAAAAAAATTATAGTAAAACTACAATTTGTTGAAAACAATGAACCATCAAAAATGTGGGCGTGTCTTTAGTGGGGCGTGAGGCTGGTGACGGGAGAAGATGTCAACCAGAGAAGGGGGTTAAACTTGCAGGATTAATTCCATTTCACGTTCACTCTACACTCCTCTCATTTTGTTGTTCTTTAGTTTGGGCTCATGATGACCGTGCGTTTTGCCTCTTACGCCCGTAAGATGGCAACATGGGCTAAACATAAGTGAAAAAATTGAGTGAGAAAGGGAAGAAGGCGTAGGGGTGCTGCGAGGGCACCGCCGAGCGAACGGACCTTTACCGAGTGGCAAACGCTGCATGCTTTTGTTGATCCCCGATGTCTGAGATTCTTCGGGATCAACATTTCGGTGTCAGTGCTGTCAGCCAGGGTTACCAACTCTCCCGCATCTGGCGTGACACTCATGCTTTCTGACTCACGCAAGAAATCGGCAAATATATATAATTCCATTATAAACCTAAAATAAGAGACATCAAAAGCGTAGAGGTAGTTTGCAAACCCTCCAGAACTGAAAATGTCATGCCAGCCAGCTGACCAAAGTTGGCAACTCTGCAGTTTAAGCTAAATAACCTGCCAAAGCACATTGATCAGGGAGCCAGGCTATCCCCGCATGGCGCCTCTCCACGCCACAGCCGACAGAATGACCGAGTGCTTCCCGGGGGCGCCGCACCAGCGAGACCCTGACGCCCCGACCAGCGTGTCGGCGTTCAGACCTACGGTGGTAGACACCAGTGATCTGAGGCAGGGGTCATAGCTGCTCAATCAGTCTAGAGGCATGTTCTGCTTGGACAACCTTCAAGCTTCAGTGATGTCCGCTCTGGGAAAAAGAAATATGCATCCAGGCGGTTCTGCCATTTTATTTATGTAGTTGCGTATTTTTTCGGGTGTGGATGCAAGGGCGTAACTTTGGCTGGAACATTGCGGGGGTTGAGGTCTCCACCCATTATGGGGGAAACATGATTATTGGGGGGGGGTTGTATTAGCTGGTTTTGATTTATCGGGGGGGGGGGGGGGGGGCCACCCCCCCCCCCCCCCCCCCGAT